GCTTCTTTCTTTCCTTTCCATACTCACCCTGTCTACTTTAATTTGTCTCTATGTCCTCATCAGTTGTCGTGTCTCATCACTGCGACGAAATGTATCAGTCAATCAAAATCAAAACAAAAAAAACCACAACAACCAACCAATAAACCAGCCAAGCTGCTTCATTTCAAACTAATCAGCCAAACACCTGTCTATCAATCAATGAATGAATCAATGAATGAATCAATGAATGAATCAATGAATCAATCAATCAATCAATCAATCAATCAATCAATCAATCAACCAATCAACCCTTCAATCATTCAACCCATCAGCCAATCAACAAACCGAATCGGAAATCAACCAATCAACCAATCACCCAAGCAAAATATCAGTCTAACAAATAAGTTTGCCAATGAACCAACCCATCAAAATCAAACAGTCAAGTAATCAATTCATCTACGAAACAGTATTATTATATTTTGTTTTTCTCTCCCTGCAAATTGCAATTCAGCAAAATTGTTTCCATTTTCATACTTTATGCAATCAACTGCTAAATCAAGCACCCCCCCCCCCCCCCACAAAAAACTACCAAAACCGGACAGGCCAAAGATGGACAGACGTCCAGTTCTGTCCCTCGCCGTGTCCACCCTCCTGTGTCTGCTGGTTGTGGTCAGCTGCCAGGCTGACGTCAGAGAGGAGCTGCGGGCCCTGGACCTGAAGGTGAGTGGTCAAAGTACTACATGTGCGCCATTTTACAGTGAGCAAGATTTGGTCGCCTTTATGCACAAGGGGGCTATCCCCCAAAAATGCTGTTTTGAGAAAATCGAAGGTAAAGTTTTTGCCCCTTGTTCAGTTTCTTTAAAAGAAAAGGAGAGTTTTCTGTCTGGCCAAACAAATATACACACCAATGAAACCAAAGTTCTCCTATAGGTAGGGCAATGCCCACTTTTGGTGAAGGTCAAGATTTCTGGAAACCCCCGAAATCTGGGTTAACCCGCTTTGTCCTTAAAAGTGACCAATTCAGCCGTTCGCTGACTTAACGTCTTTTTCGTATTCACGGCAGTTTCGAGATGAAAAGGCTTTTTGTCAGCGTAACCATATAAAAAAGGCGTTCTTCCTAAGTTGGTTTTCTAACCTATTCAAAAACTAATCGCAGTATCACTTTGATTTTTTTTCACACAAGAAGGTTAACTGATCAGGCTATCGATGTAGCAAATAAAAAGAAACTGGCGTTATTGATGAAGAAAAGGCTTTTTGTCAGCTTACGGCAGAATTTGGCCACGGTTTATATAATTACACGACACTGATTTATAGTTTCTATTCAGCTATTGATTTTTGAGTTTTAGTAAAAACATTTTTTTGGCACTTGCAACACAAAAAGTTCATATAAGTGCCGAAGAATAGATGTGTTACAAGAGAGTAACAAACACACACAAAAAAGGAGGAGAGATATATGGACGATAGATGTTTGATAGGAAAGAAGGATCAAATCACACCAGAGCACCCGCCAACCACAAACACCTATTGGTTTATTGATTTACATTGTTTGTGCTACAAAAGTCTTTGTCCGAAGCTCTACTTCAATCAATGGAAGGTTGGCTTCTGTGTCTTACGACATCTTAATGGTAGGCTCCCTGGTATCCGGAAAAAGAAGGATTTTTTTTTTAATGTTTTTTTTTCCTCCTTTTTTTAACGGAAAA